GTGGTCAACGTGGCCAGTGTGATGGGCCGCATCTCCTTTTTCGGCGGGGGGTACTGCATCTCCAAGTTTGGTGTGGAGGCCTTCTCTGACAGTCTCCGGTAAGTCTGGCACAGTAGACACCACCCTCAGTTTCCCAGTTTGCTTTTCCGTGCTTCGGCCAGCAGAGCCTCCGTCTGTCAAACCCCTTCCTCGTGCAACCACAAGCGAGCGCAGGCAGAGTTCATTTTAGCTGCTGCCGAAGCATGAGAGGAGGGGCTGCGGGGATGCTTAACACGTGGACCAGACGTCAGGACACCTTGTGCCACAGCTATAGGACTTGGGTCCCACGGGAGCAATCTCCTGCCCGGGGGGACCCTCGCCTGCCACTGGCAGCCTCTGCTCCGCTTTCAGCCAAGCTCATGCAGAGGCAGCCCGGGGGAAGGGAAGGCAAAGGACTTGGCAGAGCTTTGATTTCATTCCCCTGCCTGATGACTTCCCAGCGTCAGGGAGGCTGTGGCCACATGGGCACTGAGCCTCCCCCATTGGACCTCACCCCCACACTGGATCCTGCGGGCAATGGCCGTGTGGTCCCAAGGTTTGCTTTGGCGCCCATCCCATCCAGACTCAGCAGACATTTGCTCACACGCTGCTTCAGACACATGCCGGGGCTGGCGCGGGGTCTGCTGGGGTGGTCAGGCTCCCCACCGTACCTCCGGCACAAGGCTGCCATGTGTCCCACATGAGAGCCGGTGCCCACGCGCAGCCCACACTGGTGGGCGGCTGACGCGCTTGGGTGTTGCTGCTGCATCCCACGGGGCTTGATCCCTTCTAGAATTGAGATGTGCAACTTCGGGGTGAAGGTCATTGTGATCGAGCCAGGCTACTTCAAGACAATGATCACCAACGCTGAGAACGTGGAGAAGAATTTACTTTCCATCTGGGAGAAGCTCCTGGAGGAAACCAAAGCGAGTTACGGGGAGAATTACTTGAAGGAGTGTAAGTACCTCACCTAAAGGCTAAGCAATGCTGTTTCTCTCCTGGCACAAGGCACATCCCCAGGGCCATGGGGTGTCCCGCTGCCCCGTCATCCCACCAAGCCCTTTGGCTGTGTTCGGCTCAAGGGTCTAAGCCCGGCAGTCTGACCAGCACTTTCTGCCTTCGCAGGTTTGGTAGCACTCAGGAAGATGCAGATGAGATGCAACTCCAACCTGACGCTGGTCACGGACTGCATGGAGCATGCGTTGACCAGCCGTTTCCCACGCACCCGCTACTCTGTGGGCTGGGACGCCAAGCTGCTCTACATCCCCCTCAGCTACTTGCCATCAGCCCTCACAGATTTCATATTCACCTGGTCCTACCCCAAACCTGCCCAGAAAGTCTAAGGCAGGGACATGGCACAGGCAGCCAACAGGCAGCAGTAGCCAGAGCCCGGCAGCGCAGGGTGGGATCCAGCATCGCCCACAGCTGAGGCCATGCCAATAGGTTCCTGAATTTCTAACTCAATGTATGTCTCACAACCCGCTGTCCTCTGCTAGCAGACTGGTTTGCTTCTGAATAAAGACAACTCCTCCTCCCTGCCTGGCAGGGCTTGGTTTCAGCCTCGGCTGGGGCTGCGGCACTGAGGCCGCGTCCCTGCTCCTCCAACAGCACCAGCACTGCTGCCAGCCGTGCCATGCCATGCCACGGGAGCTCCCAGGGTCTCTGGTCGTTCCCCTGAGTGCCTGCTCCATGCAGGGTCCAGCCCCCGCCGGGATGCAAGAGCTGCACCCGCCCGAGCTGGCGCTCCAGGAGTTAACACACGTGAATAAAAACCAGACCTGTACAAACCTAGGCAGATTTCCCTCTGGGCACAGGGCTGGGCAGCCTCTGGATGAGTCCTCCTCCTCAGTGCCCCTCGGGCATCCCAAGCAGCGCCTGCTTCTCTGCGTGGCTCTGCAGACCCCCAGCACCCAGTCAGTGTAGGCTGCCCCACCCCAGCAAACCATGCCCGGGCACCGCTGTGGCTGGGGACACCCCTTTGCCTGTGTCCAGGCTCATCCCAGCAGCTTTGCTGCCTCCTCATGCAGGGCCGGTCCCAGGGTGAGGGGACGAAGCCACCGGACCAAAGCCGGGCAAGCGCAGTGCAGCCAGTGAGAGGGGGAAGTCCAGGGCCGGGTGCTGCTGACCGTGTCTGGAGAGTTCAGCCAAATCCAGCTCTGTGGGGCGACTGGATTCACCCTGCCAGCACAAACAGCCATTAAAGGCCAAAGCAGAGCTCCAGGCACACAGACCTGTGTTGCGTGAAGCTGTGAATTGCAATTGAGAGATGCAAAACTTTCTCCAGGTGCTGGTGCAATCCTGCCTCTCCTCCGGCATGTCCCAGAGCAACCTGGCACCTGGCTCTCCCACCAGCACTGCCCAATGCATGGGCTGGGGCTGGTCCTCCACACCAGCCTCTATATATATGGCACAAATGTGGACAGCACAGAAGGCTGTCACTGAGCCAGTGCCGGTGCCCGAGGATGTGGCTGTACCTGGCGGCGGTGCTGGCGGGGCTGTACCTGCTGCGCCGCTGGCACCGGGAGCAGCAGATGGTGCCGAGGCTCTCGGAGAAGTACGTGCTGATCACGGGCTGTGACAGCGGCTTCGGGAACCTGCTGGCACGGCAGCTGGATGCGCGGGGGCTGCGGGTGCTGGCCGCCTGCCTGACCGAAACAGGGGCTGCGCAGCTGCGGGCAGCCACCTCACCGCGGCTGCAGACCGTCCTCCTGGACGTCACCTCCAGCCAGAGCATCGCCGCTGCCACCGCCTGGGTCCGGGAGTGTGTGGGCGACCAAGGTA